ATACCTGTCGTCGATACCAAAACCTGAAGAATTATCGTCGAAGAAACACGTGAAGAGTTCGGGTCCAGTTTGGGCCGGGTGGAGCTCACGGCTAGATCTTCAGAATACATCATCAGATTAGAACTCGACGAGAAAGACGAAATAAGAACTGGAATGGGCGATAACATCGGCACATTTCCTGATTTTGTTCCAAAAACCAGACCTCGAAAAAAAAGGACAAAACCTGAGGAATGGGTCAACAGACAACATTAAGGTGACCCACCCGTTGTGGGAGGAGCATTCTTGAAGTCGGCGGTAAATGATATGTTGTTTAAAATGTTTTCGACTAAACAGGAGAAGATCGCAAATCGAGGCGGCCTTTTCAAATGGGACCTACACTGCTAAATGCAGCATGTTCATCAGTCGTGGTTGGAGCAGTGTTAAGGGGGAAGCTGTGCGAAAGACTAGGTTTCGCTTTTTGTGGGGGCAAGAATTTTAATTTCTATTGAATTTTTTCCTTGTACCCTATGAATTCTTCCAGTGTTGATTTTGTCGCTATCTACGACCTTTTGATGGTTGTAATGACAACTTTTCCACCCAAAACATGCGATATCGCTTCAAATTTTGCATGTTTGCTCACGCTGTATCCACAATGGGGGCAATGCGGTGACGTAATAGGTGACGCACTGCAACATACGCAGTGATGGTCCAGTATCGAACTCCGCATCGATTATCGTTCAGACCATCCGAGCATTTCATTCCTCCGGGCTTGGATAATTGGTACCAGACTCGCTGGTCGGTTCAAAGCGCTAACTTGGCTTGTCACCATGAATCATTGTATATGCATACGCATTTTAACATTACTTTTAATGAAAAGACTACAGCCCAAGGGCTCGATAGACTGACGACGAGGTCTTGTTCCTTTCAATCCTTCACATTCACGATGAAATTCCTGAGCGCTGTGCACAATCTCTGCAACCTCTGGTTACAAGAGACACGAAGGAAGCATAGGGTGTTCCAAAATTAAGGGCGCCTATTCCTAGTAATATATTTGAAGCTTCTCAGCCGCGGAAGACGATGTAATTTCTATGCACGTTAACTAACACCATTTGCTACAACACGCTCCAGTCACATTTCAGAATACCCCCCATTAGAGCGGATAGAGGCCCAAAGTTGGCTCTCGACCTGATCACATGTAGAACGCAGGTATCCTTCCCCATTTCTCCCCAGCCGTTCTTCAGACTTGCTTTCTAGGACTCCAAAGTGGGACTGCAAACTCGACAGGTCCTCTTCTAATCAGGAACCATACTGGGGAGTCAGGGAGCAACGTTGTTGAAAATAGGGTGGCCATGACTTTTCACCAATGAACTCGGGCTGTCGTCGGCACCACTCATGAGCTAGCTTGGCTGTGTGGGCTGACGTGGCGTCCTGCTGGTAGGACTACGAAATGTTCTATTAAACATAGTCGGATCATTGTTTTATTAGCCAGTGACTTTCTCGGAAAACATCAATTTACTGTCGTATAGCAACATTTTTGTGAGAGATTGTACGCTAGATGTTTCTTTCCGGAATGCGAACGTTTTGGTTGTTGAGGGATGGTTTGATCGCAAAAAATTTTTGGCCAGAGAAAACGATTAAGTGTTGCGTGTCTCAAGTGAGTCTGCGACTTCCTGCATTTTTTGGTCCTGCAGTGTCTATTGAGATCGGAGTTGAAGCGAAGTTTCTGCTTACGTATACGTAATTGTAAAGCTACACGATGTAACAAAATCTTTTTTATTAGTTGTTGCCATTGTGGGGAACGGCTTTGTACCCTTATCTCGCGCACCACATGTATTCATGAAGTGATAGGGGTCATTCTACTATGAATAAAGCGTGCAGAAACATGCAAAAACTTGAAGCGTTATTTTATGTTTTGATTAAGAAAGTTGTCAATCCAAGCATAGAAAGGTCGTAGAAAAGTATTATGCTAAAGTCTGGCCCCCACAAAACCCGAATCCTAGTCTCTCGTACATAAAGTCTCACCCTTACCACTGCTCTAAGCCACCGCCGAAGAGCACTGAACATCCAAAATCACCTCCCTCCATTCAGAGAATCGTTCGACAAATTTTGAAAGCTGATTCAAGATCAGTATCCGAAAACACGCCGTACAGTGCCCGACTAGGGATCCTTCTCTGGTTATCCTGAATGCTAGAAGAAAAACTAGGCGATGAGTGGATTAAAGGCGTTCTAAATACGCGTAGGCTCAGCAAGATCTTGCGTGCTAAAGGCGGTACGTAATCTCAACCGAAGATGTTTTTTGCGAGGTTCATGCCTTCGGTCAAAAACGGTGTAAAATTCGAAAATGGGTAAAGGCCACCAAAAAAAAGGTCAGCAAATTTACTGTCAGGAAAATGCACTGAATAGGGCGGGATTAAAACTAGAAGTTCACTACGCTGTTGCCAGAATGGAAACATTGATGGTGATCAACAAGCTGGATTCCACTCACGGGGCGGAGCGTTCGCAAAATGGGTGTTCGGTAGGACTTCCTCGAATCTGGAGCGCAAAGATCAGAGGGTTAGTACCAAAGTGGACAAGGATTCCTAATTTTCGGTGGTTGGAGGCTGGATAGGACGTGTGACGACTGGTATTGTAACAGAAACAATACGTTATTTCATTTACACGCAGACCTTGAACAGTGCCCACCGTGATCCACTAAGCATTTACGATCCTTCACATCTTACATCAACCACAAGGTGTCAAGGTTCCATTGTTGACAGGCAAGGTGTGAAAGATTCACTAACCTTACCTTTTGAGCTCCTTAATAGCATCGATCAGTTATTATAAAACCTTGTTATCAACCATTCACTTCCCTTTACGTATCACATCACCATCACACGAACAAACGGTGGCAGAGCTTTATTCCGCCCACAATTGCGTAGCATGCGCGAAATTTTTCTCTTAAACATGGGGCTTCCCAATTCAGACGGCATGCATGCGGCATCATGAATATGTATAGTGACGGTTCGATTGCGCGACATCATCCTCAGAAGGCGAGTCTTGCGCGAGAGTTCGCCCCTACTTTTCGCTTTTGTCATGCCCTCCAATCGATTGCTAGGAGACAATGGTGTGGCGTGCGGGGTCTCCCTGTAACGGTACCATAATCGAGGATGTCACGTGGCCCTGCTTAACCAGTGACTCTAACCCATCGTTCTTCCCATCATTCGTCTCATTGTTGTCGAAGCCGGACCCCGACGACTTACTTCGTCTTGTCGATCGTATTCTTCAGCTCCACCTCCAGTCGCAGCTCCAGTAGACACCGCAGTACCATTGTTGTTGCTATCTGCTACTGGTGCCGATGCTGTCGCAGTCAACGTCCCAAAAAGTACTTCAGAGCTCGCAATGACTCACAATCATAGTGGATAGTCCTTGATATCGGAGTACCGAGTAAAGATGGGAGGCTCCGATGGCTCGACGTAATCTTGAGCAGAGATCACATCTGAACGCAAGTTGAATTTGGTTTTACACCTATATATGTATGTGTGTATATTCAGAGCCATAAATTCCTGTGGTGGTTTCAATACGCATTACTCATCCGCACTTCGATCAAATATTTGTTTTCCTTCACATATCCGCATTCACTATATAAACTTTCATGATATTTATGTGTGTTCAGGGTACTGATAGTATATCGTCGCCTCATATTAGGTTGACCGGGAAGTTTCCCGCCACGTGTTTGATCGCACCATGTTTGCCTTGCATTTATGTTTATGACTTATCGTGGGGTGTGCATGAAGCACGCAAGAGAGTCTTTCACATCATTACTTTACACTTACTCAGCTTGCATTTGGATTCCAAAATGCCGCCCAAGTTTCAACCCAACAGAATGCACCTGAGGCACTGTCTCCTTTTCCTTCATCTGTCTGATTTAAACGCAAAGGAAGCCCAAGCCAAGATAGTGGATACATATGGCCTGACGCTATCTCTTACGACACGTGCAAGACCTGTATGACCAAGTTCAAGAAAGGAGATTTTTCTCTCCAAAATGCTACAAGGTTCGGCCGGCCGATGGGGTTAGACTTGAAGTTGCTGCAATCCACCGTGGAAGAGGATCCGTGCGCCACTACCAGGGAATTTCCAGCGAGGCTCGGCCATGCCCAATCAACTGCATCAACTGTTGAATCTGGGCTGGAGAAGATTGGTAAAGTCACAAAGCTTGGCCGTTGGATTGGCCGATCAAACACGTGACGGGAAACTTTCCGGTCAACCTAACACTTTCCACAGCATGCTGTCGAGACAGTGCAACCCGGAAGAGTCTGGCGTGGACACCAGGGTCGCAAAGCATAAAAAGACTGCGTCGCAGAGGATGCGAAGCATGCGAGCATGCACGATCCCACGGTCACACGCCGTCTATACTCATCCCGAGCTATCCAACAATGCAACGGGAGCGGCTGCACACGGTGCGACAGTTTCCACAGCAAAAACATCTTGGCAGGATGAACGCAGGGCCAAGCACTGCGTTCATCCTGCCAAAATGTTTTTGCTGTGGAAACTGTCGCACCGTGTGCAGCCGCTACAACTGTCGCACCCTACAACTCAGAATACAGCTTCTCATAATAGGGTCAAACTAACGAGCGATTATGGTGATTCAAAGTATAAGATTAAGGTTATCGTTTATTGAATGGTCGGTTGCGATTACATTTCACTAACTGAAGTTGTTGAACGGAGGCTCACATATTCCCAGTCCAGCGTTATCAATCTCAACCGACATATGTGGCAAATGATTCACTGATTGTGCATCGTGAAAGTGTCTTGAAAGCAGTTGTCAAGCATGCAAATTTCAATAGATTGTGTGACTAAATTCAGTTTTTCTTCAGTTTAACTGATCTTTATCTATACTTATAAAACGCTTCCTATTGTCCTCTCCTTTCGAGCTTAGAAGATGAAGTGAAATATTGTAAAAATGCCAAAGTACAGCAATAGAAGAGGATTTGTTGATGTTATGTTGACTATATTCAGTCTTCCAATGTCGCACGCAAAGCTAAATGAATAACGAGATTAGTACTCCACATGGACAGCACTCACCTTTCAGCGAGCATATCTCTCCAGAGAATTCGAGGTGAGCTTGTTTTTGGATGTACAATGTAGCCAAATACATCCGTAAAAACAAAATTCTAGTTACAGAAACACTTCTCAGTTGCTATCTCATACGCCTTCCTCTAGGTATTCCACTATTCAACAGAACTCTTCACCCGGTAATTACCAATTGCGTGATGGACGACATCGTTCGCCAATAACAAACACAGAGAACCATGTCGGAACTTCATCACCATCTCGTCGACCTGTTGGTTCGTTTTGCATTCGTTCAATCGCTTTTGGGGCTGTTCCTTTGCATAACAAACCAGTGACGAACATTTGTTCGTTTTAGTGCTTAACTGTCAAAATAACTTTTTTTAATAGAGCAACTCACAGGAGGTATTGACTAGTAATAGGAACTGTGCCATTGTGGCAGGTGCACGACATTATCAAATGATCACTAAAATCAAGATGATATTAGCATCATGCAACTTATGCATCTTTGCTTGATCAGAGACCGAATATACCTACCAATGGACCCTTATCTTTATTTCTATATTGTAGTGCCCTCTACCAAAAATGAAGGCGATTAGAAGATACTGGTATTAACGATGTGAAAGAGAAAGTGATGATGCCTGAGAGACTGGTATTTCGGATATTTCGGATAGCCTTCTTCAGAATCTGAAATGAACAAAAAAATTGCGAGCACGAAACCGAACTTAATCACAACTTCACTGCTGGCAAAATTCCAAAGGCAAGGTTTATGATGATATTCTTAACAGCGCCTGCATTATGAATGGACCCACTATACAGAGGAATCAGCTTCCCACCCGACCAAGCCACAAACCAGAGGTGGCATTTGGGAGATACTAAGGCATATCCCATCAAACAGGGTTTTGATTTGAGGAGGGGCAGATTTCTAATACATACCGACTGTCGTTCCAAACCCCACCCAACCCTTCCTCATTCAAGCATTTTCTAAGATGACTGCCTAAGTTGAAGCTCCTATTAAGGATGATTTCTCTTTTGTATTCGATGATCAGCGAAGAGAAGCCCACTTGATTGAGCCGTTTTTCTAATTTGCGTGCCGTTTGCGATTGCTCAACCCACATCTTCTTCAGTGAAATTGTCCGAAACTCTTATTTGAGAAAGACTGCTGATGTTGAGTACAATGAATAATAAATAATGATGCTTCTAAAATCACAGTTCACGATAAATCTGAGTTATCGAGCTTACGCGAAATTTGAGAAATTATTGTGCAGAAAAATTAATGTGCAGAGTTGTGCATACAAAAGTGGCGAAAAAAAGCGCAGAAATTCTAGAGGTTTAGGGAAAGTGAGACTTCAAAAGGTCGTAGGAAAATGTGTGTGGTGCAATTCACGCGTCATTATAATGAGGTCATCGGACAAAACGCGCTAAAACATCATTCCTACTATCTTAACGGAAGAAATAAGAACTTATAGGTAGAATAAGTAAAGAAATGGCCATCTATGCACCTTTACAGATATATAGGTATTCTTATTTTGAACGTTCGACAAGTAAATTGTTGACTTATGAAGTGAATTCTCAACCTCGAAGGGGCTTTTTTGTCATAGTAAAGAGATTTGTTTTATTCATGGTGAAACCGTGGTCTACTGCAAATTTATCTGGTCCATCTCAACAGAAAGGTACTAAAACGATGCTGCGTGCGCGAAGAGCTCTAACTGTACTGTACGAGGTCACGCGTCTGTGACCATATGGGTGCGCGTCTCTTACACAAACGCACTACTCGTCGGCGTCCTAACACTTAATGGTGAATGGTATAGCTTAGCAAGGCTGTCACAACACGGTCACTTTCGGGTGTATACGTCGGCCGAACCGGTGCTATTATGGCGCCTTGTCGAGATCGTTTCCCTAGCCGGCAAATTTCTACATACTATCCTTGGGCCCATATTATTCGTTTTGAACTGTGCCTTTGATGCTGACTTTTCTAAACTTGTCACATACATATACATATTCCTCTTCTTTAATAATGTTGTTTGATAATGTTTACTCCCAGTCGGTTGATTAAACGACTCATCGATGCTGTCAATAACAACCTTCTCAGAAATTCGCGAAGGAAGAGGAGTGGTTCTGAATGGTGACAGTCCTCGTGCCTCTTTTCCTTAACTTGCAGTCCTCTCCCCACGCATTTGAAAATAGAATTAAGTGCTGAGCAATCTTTGGTTCGATCCCGGGACTTCAAAACAATGGCGACGTCAATCTGGCAAGACTTCGGATTGAAGTTGGTACGATCTGCTCCATAACGGAACTGACCAACAGGTGACTCCCGGGTGTGGTGCGATTCACGCGTCAATATAATGAGGTCATCGAACCAAATGCGCTAAAACGTCATGCTTACCATCATAACGGAAGAAATAAGAACCTATAAGTAGTATAAGTAAAGAAATGAACAACTATGCACATTCACAGAAGGATTGCGTTTTCCAGTATCAAAAAATTTGAAGGTATTCTTATTTTGAACTTTTGACAAGTAAATTGTTGGCCTATGAGGTGAATTCTCAATCTCGAACGGGTTTTTTTTTGCCATAGCAAAGAGATTTGCCTAGTTCATGGTGAAGCCGTGGACTACTGCAAATTTATTTAGTCCATTTCAACAGAAAGGTACTGAAACGATGGTGCGCGCGCGAAGAGCTCTAATGGGCTCACGCGTGAGTCGCGCGCCCCCCGGTGGCTCCTAGTTCTACTGCTTCGAAAAAGGCTTTTGAACTTGCGAGTCACCACTAACGTTGTGTGTCGACATGATAAGCTTGCACAGTCTTTCACTCTGCTTATTCCACGCCGTTCTGTGAGTCTTCAAACGTTCTTTCAATTTCAATCATAGCGTTGAAATCACCGACGATGATAACTGAAGAAAGACTTGTCCTCTTGAAGTTAGTCTTTTAAGGAATTTGTGAAGCGTTTCCAGCTCTCAGCTGCTCCACCTCTTAGGATGATATTGGTGCGTAGGCAAAGAAGATTGTTAAAGATGGGGTTGAGCCACATAGTTATTATTATTATTTATTACACGAGCAATAGTCGTGTGAAACTAACACAAAGAACAAACCAAAACAAAAATAAAAACGAAACAAAAGTATCATTTCAACCCTGCCATTGCTGTGCAATGTTGTAAAACAGCAGCACAGAAGAAAAAAAAACTCGTAATTGAATTAAGGTAAAGGAGTGCTTGGAATTCAACTATGTGAAGGGTGATGACAAGAATCACACTGAATACTCGAGCAACTGCTTAAGTGTTTCTTGTAGTCAACAAAGTAAAAATGGGCTTTCCTTGCATAACTCAGCAAAAAAGGGAGCCACTCTGTGTGTGAAAAAATGCCGTCTACAGTTCAATCTAGCTTTACCCACATCTAATTTCAGACTACCGCCTCTAGTGATAGAAGGTCTCAGAGTCAAAAATTGATTAAGATCCATCTTAACTTTGCCCTGGAGGAGCTTGGGAAGTAAACGCAAATCATTTCTCTGCCGTCTCGACTGCAAAGGTGCTAAGCAGAAGTATTTGTCACGGATTTCACTAGATGGGATCTGGTCATACATAAAACCTACAAGTCTTATCAATTATTTCCTGTTGAAATTATTCTGCGCTGACTCTAACTTTTTGATTATTTTGAGCTTGTAAGGATTGAACACTATTCTAGCACAGACCTAACATAATTCTTGTAAGCGCGCAATAACACAGAAGCACTAGTCGTCGGCAGGGCTCTGTGCATGTTGTACATGACAATTCTTGCCTTCTTCGCGATTGCTTCACAATGAGCGTCAAAACTAAGGTCATTACGAATAAGAAAACCCAGGTCAAATGTCTGATCGACAGCCATCAACGGTGCGTCATTAATGTAGTAGTTGTGAAGCTGATTAAATTTTCCCAGAAGTAGAACCTTCGATTTGGCATCAGAAAGAGGTAAGTTCCAATCCCTTGACCACTAAGTAATCGTATTTAGGAGAGACTGAAGAATTTCAGCCTCATCCTCGTTCGTGACAGAATGATAAATCTTAAGATCATCCGCGGACGCCAACACTCCAACTGAACTCTGCTCAAGCAATGACATAAGATCCTGGATGTAAATGTTGAACAAAAGGGGGGAAAGAACACCCTGATGAACACAGCTGTTCGCCAACCTGGGCAAAGAAAGGAAGAATTTATACGAACGGAAAATTGTCGCCCAGTGAGAAAAGCACCGATCCACGCAACAACACGCGGATGGATACCAACTATGCTCATTTTACACAATAACTTTTTATGAGGGACCCTATTAAAGGCTTTGCAAAAATCAATGCAAATCACATCCACTGGTTTTCCTTCATCCAGACACTTTGTCCAGTGATTGAGAGACTGAATCATGGAAGCGACGGTCAATTTCCCTTTCTGGAAGCCGTGCTTGTTGGATAATATCACACTATATTTCTCCAGATGGTCCAAAATTCGTTTTTTTTCGAAAATTCCTCAAAAAGCCTCGAGAAAATCGAAGTAATGCTTACAGGCCTAGAGTTCTTTGGAACGTTGTGTGGTGGCTTTTTCGGGATAGGCGTTATAAAGGAGTGCCACCAACGGTGTGGAATTTCCGCATTCATAAAGCACAGGTTGAAAATATGTTCCAGAGGGGTTTTTATAAGATGAGGAACCCTTTTGATGAATGAAAACGGTACAAAATCAGGTGCGAGTGGATTTGAGTGTGGCCATGTGGAGAGTAGTTTGAAAATCTCATCACGATGGAACCAACCACACTTACTCGTCCATAGTTGGAACCTCGTACCTAATTACAAATCACACCGTTCCTCATCAGAAGAGCAAAAATGTTCTTGAAAGGTAAACGCCATTAGCTCGGCCTTGCCTCGATCTTCGAAGACGGGAGTACCGTCCACAGAAAGAAGACTAGAGATTTCTGCTCAACCGCGACCCTAGGAGCTTGTAAAACGAATATGTGTTAAACGAGTCAATGACCTTTCTATCCACGGATGCTTAGAATTTTTTCACCTTTTTCCCAATTTATTGGTAAAATAATCAAACGTCAACTTGTCCTGTGGGTCTTTGGTGATTGGAGCCTTGTTCCGTGCCTGCTCCCGCTTGAAGAATAGATCCACAAGGTATTCGGGTGAATTAGAATTTAGCAGTGATTTCGCCTCAATGGAAACGTACAGCTCAATAGTGTGTGAAAGAATGCTCAAGAAAAGTTCATACTTAGCATCGACTGAACTTGCAGAACTCAGAGAATCTAACCAGTCCGCACTGACCAGATAGTGTTTTATGTTCTCATAGTTGGGCGCAGAAAAATCTTTTTCGAAAGTAACATAATCACTTGTTGTTTGCGAATTAATATTAAAGGCAATGGAAGAATGTTCACGTGAGCCAAGCGGAATTCAGTGATCGTCAAGTCCAGTGATTGGGCTCTCGTCGTTGGACAAAACCAAATCAAGAATATTGTCATGAAGCGTTTCCGTACTAACATATTGCTTCAACGCGTGACTATTGCACGTATCCAAAAAGCTTTGCCCGCTATAAGCGAGTCGAGATGGCAGAGCTTCGCCTTGAAAGTTCCAGTTGATACAAGAAAAATAAAAGTCTCCCACAATTATCGAGAGATGCTCGCAAGCGACCAAATCACTGATTGCTTCAGTCAATTGGTCTGATTGCGTAGCAGGACAGCTAGGTGCTCTGTATACCACAATAAAACGAACGGTACCAAACGTCACGTACAAGACACAACACAGGATTTCATAAGCATGCAGAATTGATTCTGAATGAATAGTAACAGAAGACAACGTATTTCTCACCATCAAGAAACTCCTTCACATCTTTTTGAAGCACGATCGCATCGCGTTATACAGTATGGAGAAATATCTGTGCGGATGAATGAATTCATATCAATTGTTGTAACAAGCTAGGTCTCACTTGAAGCCAGTAAATCCGGACTCTCGTGCTTGATAAGTAGCGAAAGTGCACCCGAATTATTTAATTACCGATCTCACGTTTGCTACAACACAAAAAATGCTCGACACTATGTTCCTTGCACCCTTTGCACGTTTAAATCGCCAGTGATACAATCTCTGGTCAACAGTCGAGATTGCCTTTTGGCTTTTAAACGACCACGATCTGCTTTAGATAGCGAAGGTCTAACAAAGATGCCTTTTTCTCGGAAATATTTCAACAGATGAGCTCATTTGACCACTAACAAAGCAAAGAACGATACCGGAAAAACAATTTTCAGAAGCCTAGATTTGTTGCGCATGAAGCGCCTCATACGAAAGATAGCAACTGGACTACAATCTATCGAGAGAAAACCCAGAAGTCGCCTCACACGAGAAATATCAAATAAAACTCGATCCGAAGAAATGGGGGCATTGCTTTCTCTGACTCCTATTATGACTACGGAACGCCTACGTTCTATTTCCTCATAAGAGTCAGGCACAGAAGTAATCCTTGAAGCCTCCAGAGGCTGAGTCACAGTGTCATGAGAAGACAAAGCCTGTTTCAGTACAGCAATTTGAGATTTCAAATTACTCACTTCATTAACTAAATCAGAATTCTTTTGACGTACGGCTATGTTTTCTTCAACCAATTCCTTGTTTCTAGATAAAACTGCATTTATCTGATCCTTCATTTGAATTAAGAAACCCAACGCCTCAAATGGGCTGGGAGCGAGGCGTCGTTAACTGCCATATCGATTGCACGATCAAAGTTCACGTCGATGGGACTTGAATGGTCCATTCTGTGCTTCTTCCCCTGGTAACCCTGAACCGCAGCCGAAGCGAGTGGGGTATCCATGACACATTCATATAGTAATAATATGAACAGATTCACCTGTAGTCGTGGTTTGGATAAGCTAAGATCCCCAGACACAGGGGAGAACGCGTGCTGTCCTAGAGATGATCAAAGTGGCACTGAATAATCGGTCAGCGCCAATCCAGGCACGTACCACAACGCGAATAAACAAGTGAGCAGTGTAAGGCGTAAGTAGTAGAACAGTTCAATAATGGGCACACAGCATTAGAATAGGACGGCTTGAGAAGACAAAGCAGAAAAACAATCCTGGTGAGCCGGAGTAAGTGTTGAGCCCTTGCTAGGCAACCAGAGATTGAATATGAAGGTTTATCAGGATGGAACTGCGCACAGAGTATGAAGCGAAGGTATCGGATACGAGGATATGCGATTGAGTAAGACAGTCTTCGGGGCACTCGGGCAGCGGCGGGTTCTGCGACTTCCCAGCGATCCTGCGTGTTCTTCAATTAGCATGCGCTGTTGCTCTTTCCGCCGTCCTTGTTATCATCGTCGCTCTTCTCGGGCCGGCAAGCCTGGAAATCACAACACGTTGCTTCCAGCCTGCCGTACTCTTTACTCCCTTTACACAGGTCTTTTCGAATAAGTTCAGCAACGAATATGGAGCAAACGATCGACCGACCACTCGGCAGCTGCGCAGGCGCAACGCGGTCGGTCGATCGTTTCAAAAGCGGACATCCGACCGAGGTTGTCAAGTTTCCGTACAAATCGGTGTTCATAGCCAAATACGTATTGTCAAGGAGTCCTACATCACCGTCGCCTCTGCAGTCAAATGTTCACATGTTCCTAGTAGCGGTTCTCCCCCTGTCTCGAGAATGCGTCAGTGGGCGATATCTTCCCGCGTTTGACACTCCGGTGTTGTCGTATTTGTCGTCCTAACTCGGATCATCGAGACATCGACACACGCATACGTGCTTTTGAAAATTCCCAGTTCTCCGTCTCAGACGTTTTCTTTTTGAACAGCCTGTGTTGGCCCTGAAAATTTGGAAATTTTTTTACGAGATTCTCTCGAACGGTCCTACCGGACGCTGCTACGGTTCCCTCGGGTTCAGGAAAGTAAAGCTAATTCATGCTACTGTTTTGGCAGACGGGCTTTCTCTCGTGTATTCTTACCTAATTTGAGTTATCTAGACCTTGGCCACGGTAGCCCCTAGGCACTGTTTTTCATTCAGTTCTCTACTATAAATTATAAGGTTGATGCGCAATTATTGCGGACTTTTTCAGTGAATTTTTCTTGAAGAAACGATAGAAATATGTTACAAAGACATGTTCAAATAATTGCTTCGGAATATATCCACCATCCACGTCAAGCACTGCTTGCCATTTTCTAGGCGGTCAGATTCTAATAAGGAGATGCTTCGGTTTTGGAGGCGATCGCGCCTTAACATTGGCCATCAAGCCATCCACTTCGTCGAAAGTTTTGTTCGCTGACCAATATTTCGACGGGCGATCAACGTGATAATTCGTAGGAGTTTCTTTTGATGAATAGGGCGACCGTAAAAACAAATTCCATTCTCCATCCGGCTTTGGCTGACTGTTCCATAGCCGAGCAGTTCGTTGAGATCACATTATGAGTGTGCCGCCTTCCAACATTTCTCGATGTAATAGAGCATAATGTGGCGTATATGAAGATGACTTTCTAGACATGTTTCTGTTTAGGAAAGCGAGAAGAACTTACTACAAGAGTCCCGAATTTAAAAGTTCAATTTTATCGAGAGAAAAAAGCCGCGAAAAAAATTCGCAATAATTATGCATCAACCTAATACTTTCTGCACAGCACTCTGGGCTGGCATTTCAAGCGAACTTTTGCTTTTTCATACGTTCCTTTTTTCTTTTTCAAAGATATGCGTTTTGATACTTGATAGCCACAACCTGCTGCGCCTCTTATGGTTGCTCTGAAGCAAGCTTATTATGCGGCTCAAATCCTAGAGAGTTCCTTGTTTGTGCGCAAGCTGCAAGCTTAGCTGCAAGCCTCATGCTGTATCATTTTTGCCCTTTGTCCATTTTGTCATAAGTAGATTGATGCAAAATTGAGCGACCGTGAAATATGTTGGCAACTTATGTAATGTATGTCTGTGTATGTATTTATATCTACGTATCTTTTCCTGTTTACTTTTCGGACAAGGTTCTTGATATGTACGGCTACAGAAGCCAAATTTTGTTGTCTCTATGAATATTTCTTTCGACGAATGATATATTTTCGTTGAACGTGACGGTGATAGGTACTGTTTTCTTCCGTTGGCCTATTTAATAATGACTTATATCTTTCTGAAATCATCAACAACTAGGGTTCATACGTAAACACCTTCATTTCTCGCTTCAGCGAGAAATTAAGGAAAACAGTTCAGAAAATAACAAACAAAAATTACAGTCCCATAGTTTGACGGTTCCTCACTTGGATTCCTTGTAATAACAAACAATATTTTCGGATTATCAAAAAATAATTTTTGTAACAGCAAAAGAACCTGAAAAGCATTTTTTCCAGCGGTAAATGATAGCCCTTGCTGAACATCATATGATAAGCCCTCAAAAAATTTTTGTTCCTTAACATGAATGGAACCTCATATTGGAATTGTTTCAGGAACATTCGAATACGGTCATACTTACGGCAGCAGCACTTACAGACATGACCAAACGACTTTTCTGGGAACACCCAAGTTGTCAACTCGATACAAGCCCGACAATGCGTCATTTCGGTAAAATAATATTGCATTCAAACGACTCTTCAACGTGGAAGAATAGAAGAACGACTCCAAGCCTCGCTTAGCTTCATTGTGGTTTTTTCGAAAAATATTAGGGTTAGGTGTTTTCGGCTCCATAATTTTTCCAAATACTACAATAGAATCACAACCATGCCGTTTCGGCCATTCTATTATCATTTTTGGTGTCAGGTTTATATTTAACTTAATTTACTTTTCCATGAAGTAGCTCAAAAAAGCTGAACATATCTAGCGATGAATCTCCACGTGCGGCTCTCGATGAACCTCGGCATATTTTCGAAAAAACATTTTTTGTACAACTCCACACGAGGCTTACAATACCCTAATGGCTAACGTTTCAGTGAAACCACCTTCGTCGGAGTCTAAAAGGATGGAATCAATTTTTTAACAATTTTTTGATTTATTGAGATTACCCGATAAAACATCTCACCCCCCAACAATATCTTCGAGACCAACTTGATCATCATACAATTCTAGGTGGATAAGAAGTAGCGTACATACCTTCCTGATAGCAGAACCGGCCATCGTGAGCGACGTAGACTGGCTGTCTCGAGTTCAAAATTCTCAGTGAAAGGCTAGCCTTACGTAGGGGGTGAGTTCGCGCGTGATTGACACGCATTCCTCCTTCCGGTTCATTTTTGGATCCATGACCCGGGTCCAAAATGCCTCTAGGGACTTCCTCGCGGCTGTTTGTGCCTCATGCGCCAAGACCTCGACCGTGACCCCGAAATCGTCTCCTTTATGAGTTTGTGTCCTGTGGCAACCTAAGGCAGTGAAGGGAGTGAGCTAGCCTTACCGTTTAAAGGTTTTTTGATTCGTACATGGACTGGTCTAGCGGTCTCACCTATGTGTTTGTACGTACGTATCTCCACAGTTTTGGCAAGTGATTTAGTAGACCTTACCATTTGCGCTACAGTCACCTTCTCTGCCATTAAGGCAGACCACACAATTAGTGTTGCACATGTGCGATGGCACATGCGGTTACGGACTAAACGGCGCTTAAGATTGTCGGAAGGGATTTCGACGATATCAGCAATGTTTTGGAGACCCGCTCTTCTCAGACACTTCCTTATGGAGGTACTCACTTCATCGGTGATGAAGGGCCCAGCAAATGGGAATTTCGTACTAAATAAATCACCATTTGTCCTGCTCGACTCTTTACCTGCTCTGGCCTTTCGAAATGGAAGTTTGTGCCCATCATCCACGATGGAGCCAATATGATAAAACTCAAACAGCTGACCAGAGAGCATCGCGGTGTCTAACATTAATGCAAAAAATTACTAATAAAAACGAAGTAACATTATGGGAACACTAGTAGAAAATGCAATAATGAATGATATAGAGGTTACAGCAGTCTAATATTCGAGAACACACTGTTACGCTTTCTTGACCAAATTTCGATTTCACCGCTTAGTTCTTTTGCCATATCTGTCTAAGGTCAGCAATCAGAGTAAGAGATCGACCTTATTCAAGTATAGGCAGTACAGGGAGGAGCGAAGGGACTACACCGGACCTACAGTGATTTCACATGCCCTGTGCATTCCTATTATAAATATACAATATTATCTGAGTCGTTATTGACTCAGCTCTAATAGTGAGAGCTACTATGGCACCTTAGCATATTTGTAGAAAGCACCGAGCAGAAGTGACACTTTTCAATTCCCAGGTCTTGCGCTGGTCCATTCCGGACAACGAAAATTTTTCGTAGATTTTCGAAAAAAGGTGAAGCAATCCAAGAGGTTCTGAAATTTTATAGTCACCGACAAACATCCCATGGAGCGCTTTTTTAGAGATTGAATCGTATTAGGTTGATGCATCATTAATGTAGACTTTTCACTGTATTTTATTGGAAAAAAACGATGAAAATATTTAAAAAAGACAAGTCATAAAGGATCAAAGGATAACGTGTCCGGTGTTAATCAATCTCGTCCTAGGGATGCGCCCCCGCACTCGACTTCCACTCAGAATCGTAGTAGCGTATTGAATGGGTAAGTGGCCTATGCAATGACTTGCGGTGGTCATCCGAAGCATAAGTACAAGACAAGACATGTTTAATAATTACTCCGGAACGTATCCACTATCTACGTTGAGCACTGCTGTCAATTCGTTAGGCAGTCGCAGTCCTCAGGCAAAAAAGTTTTCATTCTTGAATCGCATTTCTGTTAAGACGAGCGAGAAGATTATCACTATCAATTCCCAAATTCAATAATCAATTTGTATCGAGAAAAAAAGGCCGCGAAAAAATCCGATAATTATGCATCAACTCAATAATTGAGAAATCTGCGTCAATTTGATAGCGATCATCTTAAGTTGAAAACATGACTAAAAAAAGAAAATATAAAAGGAACCATATACGGAAGCATATGTGTGAACACAATAGATACATTCCGTCTAATTCGTCCTCCTTCAGGCAACTCAGTCGTCCCATGCATGATAATCGAAGACGACAGTTTTCACCATTTGTGCATTACCCACGCTTTCAAGAGAAGTGCACACAAGATGAAAATGATGAACGGTCCTCTAGAAAAGGTATGTATAACAGAAAAGAGGTATTTCTACTCGGTCTTCCACGGCAGTCGGCAGTGGTATCGCGGCTATTACCGTGTCCTTTTACTGCAAACTAAAATCTCTCTCCTCACAGTGCGCGATCCGCTTCAACGAGCACGGCGCACCGTTCGATTAAGAGGCACCGCATCCCCAAACAGAAAATTTCTCACAATGAAATAGATACTATAAGAGTCACATGAATAATTTTGCTTAAAGGAAAGAACCATATAATCAGCGTTATACAGGCTGTTATCTATATCGTTCTTTCGCTGAAGCACTGCTATTCGGCAGTGCACTGAATTAATGCCCATAACTCATGTATCACCATCAATTTGCATGTTCCATGTGCTGTTGAAAAGTGTCATGAGTAAACGTGAAATGTGGGCTCACGAGCATATCAAACATTGCAGTGTGAAACTTTACATAGCGTCTCTACTAGCGCCATTTTATGGAGCCTTCCGCGAGGAGGCGGGAGTTGATTCGGTCAATGTCAGTGTTTTCAGTGATTTCAGCTCTTTCGCTCGCTCATTATTGCTAATACTGAACAAAAATATCATGAAAGAGTCTGATTAGTTGCGGGTCATTGCACATGATGGGAAAAAGCGAAGAGCACCTCTCGGTGCAAAACAACTTCGATATAAGGATAGTTTGAATAGTTACTAGTGAATGGGGACAATTAGAGTTGCTGAAAACTCCTACTGACAAGTGCTGCTCACTTGCATCAGAAAAGCCCATCTCATAATTGTTATGTCCCATTTAATAGTGTCTTTAATAAAAGGTTACCTCCAACGTGACTGTACCACAAACTCATCCGCGCCTTCACGGGGTACCATTGGGAACTACTGCTGAGGCAGGTCGAATTGAACGCTGACTTCCGAGTGCAGAAGAAAACCCTCCGTGACAGGTTGATCACGGACCCTTCGTCGCATCCAGGCGGTTAATGACGTCTAATATATCAAGGTCCAGTGCTATGGTGTACGCGGGAGCCAACGCACACTCGCGGACGGCATCGGAGGCCAACTATGGTAGATCAGAACTTTTGCATGGCATGAAAGGCCTACGTTGCAATACTAAACCTTGGCGCATCGAAAGGTCGCTCCTGTGAGCCGGTAGTAAGCTGGATGGTATACGAATAGATTTCCGTGCCGTGTAAGAGGAGGATGGTCCTGTTGCAAGTGACGGACATTGGTCGCTGCCTCGAAGCACTCTTTTCCGGTTCCGGGACTACACATTTGCATGGTGATAATCCTCGCATGTATTCAAAATTCGATCGTTTACGTCGAACGCTCCAGCAAACACCTGTTGATGACTGCTATTGGACGCCAACATACCACACTTTCTCTACCTCTGCTCCACGCACTGGTTGCTCTCCGTGGATTAAATATGGGTTGTGGACCTTGCTCGATGAGAAGAGAACTGAAGTCCTCCCACATGAAGCTGTTGTTGTTAGAGTGACCATGGAGCGCGAGCCCCTGAATATGCTGTGACATCTTCATCGTAAATACGAAGTGACTCGCACCTACCACCTTCTACGGTAATAAAGCCAGAACAGAAATAGACTTTGTATTCGTCAGGTGCCGCAATCAAAAGCTCATGAAGAATGCGAAGGCTGTACCGAATAGCCACGCAACACCTACTACGACTGTCGAAGGAGACTGGTAAGGTGTTGCTTGAGCAATGACCTTAGCTGCTCGCTCTGAACTAGGCTAGACAAAGCCTGGATAGATCAAAGTCAATAAGGAAACGTGGCTGTGGACGGATAACGTAAGAGAAGAATTGCGCGAAAAATAGATTCTATCAGTACTCGTCCTAACGCGCAGAACTATCGTGAAGGCTCCGAAGAATGAAGTGGCCGTCGGGAAAAAAACACACATTACGCCAAAGTCAGCGGAAGAAAAGGTGCGATGATGTACAACATGTTACCTTACTGCCAGAGCCCGACATCGCCAGACCGGAGATATAAAGAAATTTTCCAGCATCCATGACGAAAACAGCTGTTCTGACAGAGCCAGGGGACAGGCATTAATCAATGACAGTACAGCATGGAAGTAGCTTTGAACAAGATGGTGTCTGGCAAGGTAACTGGTCCAGATATCTTGGCGGCCGAGAAGGTACGGTGCTAGAACTCTGCAGCGTAGCTGACAACGACAACGTTCCTCAGTCGGGTCGTTGCAGAAAATTAGTGCTCAGAAGATGGCTGCAAAGTATTATTAGTACTGGAAGAAGAGGCGTTACCCTGTGGGCTGCACAAGCTACCGCCCAATTCGATTGCTTTCGTCCAGTATGAATATTTTTGAACGAACTTTAGATGTCTGTATTCTAGAATTCGCCCAGCTCTTCATGAACTAATGTGATTTAGACTCTGGCACCTCTAAAGCAACAAATATCTCCTACTTTACAAGAGATGCATCGTGAGAAGCAAAGACCACTGCATTTCGCTTCTCTAGACTCAGAGCGAGCTTTCATTTGCGTGCCGCGTGAAAATTATGGTATTCCCTGCGACTGTATGGGGTTCCTGAAGGACCTATTGAGTTGGTGCGCATAGTCTTCTCAAATCCAGTCAGTAGAGTTAAAGAGCAGCAGGTACTTGTTCGAAAATTCACATTTCCGGCCACCGATTACTTGACCACGAAGCCAAATAAGCCAGGCAACATCAGAATTGAAAGCACGCAAACTTTTGTCTTTGACATACCTAAGAACAGCACTGGCGTTCGAAGGCAGTCAGGCCTCCAAAGTCAATTCTCTCGTGAGTGCGGCTTTGTAGATTGCCTCAAATGTCTTTGGAAACGTCGCACAACCAGTCGCAAATTGCGATGCGGAGTGCCAGCCTATGACAAACAAGCTTGAAGCACACTCAAAGTATTCGAAACGAAAATACTGCTATGTCAGTTGAGGTCACTCGTTTGAACCGTGGTCACAACGACGCAATAAGGAAGCATTTTGTAGTAGCCCTCATTACTGATAAAATGCGCGAAGGTAGAATATCTGACGCAGCGCTTTCTCGATACCTTGCATGAGGACTGGGAATTAGTCAGCTACCATTGTAACCATGCATTCAATGGGAAGAAGTTAACCTAGGGCACTGAACAGCGGGCCCCGACAAGCACTGAAGAGAAGGAGAAAAAAATATTTGTATTCAATCGTTCGCGCATGCGCAGTATTCATTCGGCACATCACTGAATGAATGAAAGCGAAGTCTTATTCTATAAACCAACATTATATCTCTGAGTCCTAGCAGCTATAAGAAACCTCTCTTTTTCTCTTCTCCGTCTCTTTCTCTCTTAGCTCCCCTGCGTTTCCAGAAACAACTCTTTAACATTCCGAGTCGTTTCATAGTTTCATTGCATAAATTCAGAAACTGGTGTCGAAGACGGCATTCTAGCAAAAATATTATTTCTTGGTCATCCACTATAATGAGAAGTGCCCTAGAGAGGAGCCGCAAATATCAAGAGCGTTTAAGGTCCCGCCCCAAGCTCAGATGACTACCGTGGTCGAGCATTTCCTGTGAATCATGACTGGGAGGAGTCATCGACGTTCCAAGAACCACAGCAACCGAAAAGTATGACTCGCTTTCTCGAATCGATTTTCTCAGTTAAGAAGTAATTAACTCAAGTCTGGTGTAAACATAAGTGATATTGGATTTTTTGATTATGAAAAAATACTCTTAACTGATCCAGTTCAATGATTTTTTTGAATACTATCGAGAAACGTTCAGTAAAATGCCTAATTACAGCGTAGGCTCTCCGAATTGCCTGGACAAATAGCTTGTCCGAATTAGTCAATTACTTTAAATGTTGGGCTGAAGAAAGAATGCATCAACTATTAGCTGAACTGCTGGAAGTTTTTCAATGTGGTGCAATGTAGAAACGTTCAAATATCCAGTGAAAAACAGCCCTGTTCCAACTGTCACGGTCAACCTAGTCGTCTCTTTCCTGATGTCAGCAACAGCGTTCCTCGACAGCATCCCTGATCTTCGTTCGTCGGAGGATATTGAAACTCCGGTTTTCCTCTTGCACATGTATGTATCGGGAAACTCCGAGCATTTGTAGTTCCAGTAGCCTGCTAATGAAGAGCAATAAAAGCTGTTTGTGATGTTGAGCAGGGGCAGTACGACCTAGCCCTCTCTCCTGAATCTTGCCCTCAGTACTCCCTTGCAAGCCGATCTTTCAACAAATGTTTTCAGATTCGATCTGAATTCATTCCACTGCGTCGGAGTTATTTACCTAATATTCTTTCATAGTAATGGTGGTCAAGGTGCCCATCCTCGACGATCACTCTCATGCCTTCCCATTACGAATCACGTATGACATTATGAATGAGGCTGGAGCATTTATTCAAAATGGTATTGCTATGCTAATCAAGAATCTTCACTTGACTACGATTTTCAAGTCGAAGGATTAGATTTCATTCTGAAGTTGTTATGGAGTTGAGTAAGTTCCAATATTTGCTAAGCCGGATCACCTATATACTCGATTCGCAGACTTCCGCTCGTGTTTCTAATCTGCCGTGACATCCTTCAAATCGAACGTGTGACACACTTGCATGTAGCTAGCTAAAAAAGTGAGTGTTTGTTAGTCTCATGATGCGAGCCCTCTTCTACAAATGTAGCAGTGGTTAGTCGTGAAACCCGCACAGGCTTTGCGGGCGAGATCGGGTCATGCGCTAGCACTGTAGTTTGCCGTGATGAGTGAGTGTTCAGGGATGACCCAGTGGTCCGGTATATGTGAGTTTGCATGTGTCATCGTTTTCAATAACTTCAAATAACGGTGAGGCCAATGTAAATTGTTCAAGTTTCGAGAGGTGAACTGACGGTAGACTTTCTTAAATTTCGTTCGAAGTTCACATAGTATCACCTGTATCAGCAATCGTCTCGTTGACCATAGATTTTCTCGAGTGGGCGCCAGTAACGTATCCGTCCTTGTCGCAAGCCATAGACCGGTGGATCGCCCTCGCTCGAGAGGCACGAGGCATTCCTTTCAGAGCTTTCGTGAAGAAGTCTGACCATCGCGCTAGCGGCAGTGCAAGTGTTCTTTGACGTCGCATGATCATCGTTAGTTAACGGAGTTCGGAACTCCATATGCCCTTCTGCACTTGCGTGTAAAGAGAAATTTCGAGCATCATCCTCTCTGAAGCGCGCTGAGTGACGCCGACAGCATGTCCGTCTTGCTTTTGCAGGTGCCAAGTTTCCGAGGCGTCCTTTAAAGCAGGATGGACAGAAGTCCCGAAAAGGTCGACGCGGAGCTTGATGTTCTTTGTCTTCACTACTCCTTCGATAATCTCAAACGCTCCCCACGTCGCGCAATTCTACCTCTTAAGTTCCGGAGCTAGGTCGCTTCAACGGTCACCACGATATTGCGTAAAGTGTCGTGATTCTTCACGTTGGGTTCTCGACCTAGACGTGTATTCGTTCCGTTCAGCGTGGATGGAGCGTCAACTACCAATCCTTCTCTCATGAACATCGTTTTCGTTAAGTTCAGTCTTGAGCCAATTTTTCCTCAAATTGGTAAATTCGGCCAGCATTTGTTCCGCTTGCTCGATATTCGTATTATAACCACGAGCACCTGCAAAGCGGAGATAATGGAATTAGCTGTCATTAACCTCCACTCCAATGTCTTCTTATTTAAAATGACCCATGATGTTTCGAGAGCGGCACTGAAAATTTTGGGCGAGATGTCGTCGCTTTGTCAAACCCCTCTCTTCACGTTGACAATGAATTCCTTATGAAACAGTGAAGGTCAGAACATTGTCTTTCACTAGCCTTTCTGTCTTTCACGAACCATGTCTGAATTGAGAAGAACCACTCTGGTTGTTCAACCCTTCCATTATCGCTTCAGTCTCGACAATATCCAAAACTTTAATCAAGTAAATGAACTTCAGCCACAGCAACATTTCATATTCATGTGATCGATTGTTTTGAACTCTCGCCGGATCCCTACTTGTTCGCATGGCTGTCCCCCATAATCTATTAGGTTGGTGCATAACTATTGCGGGTTTTTTCGCAGCTTTTTTTTCTCTCGATAGAATTTTAATATTGAGTTGGGGTTTTTTCTAGAAGTGATCTGCTTGATTTCCTCTACAAGAATATACTCAAAAAACCATCCGCATATTCGCAAAATTAGGCTTAACTACTTCGAGAAAGATTGGAATGTGGCACAGTTATTCCTCGATCTCAGTAACTTTTCGGCGATGGAATAATCAGCCAAAGCCAACAAAGAAATGGGATCTGCCCTTAAATCTGTCATATTCACCAGCGAAAACTTTTATGGATTATCTCGTCAACCGCTCATCAAAAAACTGGCTAGAGAATGTGAGTTACGTCGATTTGGATGTCTTGATGGCCGATGTCAGGGCGTGGATCGCCCGCAAGGATCAAAACTTTTGGGATCCGACTAACTAATCAGTAGGAAGCAGTGCTTGACGTAGATGGTGAATGAGTTCCAGAGTAACAATTTGAACATGTTTTTGTTTATTATTTCTATCGATTCGTTAAGTAAAATTTTTTGTAAAAATCCGCTGTAATTATGCATCAACCTAATATATAGAGGCCGTAAAATGCAGGGGAAATAGAAAATATCAAAATAATCGTGTTCTGACCGCTAGGAAGTCATGTGTACTTTCACTAGATCACCTAATGAACGATCGCTAAAAAGTTACTGAGATCGCGGAATGACTGTGCCACCTTCTCGAGATAGTAAAGCCTAATTTTGCGTATATGCGGATGGTTTTTTGAGCATATTCTCGTAGAGGAAATCAAGTAGATGATTTCTAGAAAAAACCCGAACTCAATATTCGAATTTTATCGAGAGATAAAAAGCTGCGAAAAAATCCGCAATAATTATGCATCAACCCAATAGTATTCTACCAATTTTCTTGAGGATGACTCATGTGAGAAGCCTGTCGACTGCAGCAGCAGGCATTGATACCTTAGATACCGTCTGGATCTCCCTTTTCGTACAATACACTCTTGCTAGTTTTCCACAAGAAGGGGAACTAGCAAGACTGTGTGTTCCCCAATACAGTCAGGTTCCAAAGAAAGCTAGGAAGTTGAAAAGTCAGTGCAACAATGTTCGGTAATTATGGAAAGCTCAAGCCAACAACTACAACTCAGAGATCATGTCATGATTGACCAAAGGTGAACATGGTCCGTCATACATGTCTTACATACACGTACGATAGAGCAATGACCACGCAGAATGACAATAAAATCGAAAAGCGATCATACCGCAGGGTGAATACAATGACCTCCACAAAACAATTTCAATAGAATAGCAGATCAGCAACGGATTCGCGGAGTACAAGTAGAAATCATAACTATGTACAAGATGAGATTATGAGAGAATTTGAATGTGGAGATAATAGTCAATGAGGCTAGCAAAAGAGTACAAGTCAAACGCCTTCCGCATTTGCCCTCAGCCATGGAAAGCTTAGCAACTATGCAAAGTAGCAGATATAAAATTCGGAGACGGACAAAACGTGGGTTTATCGCCAATATTAGTTGTTTCATCAAAGATAAGTGATTCAGTCCAGGTTACGAGACTGGTCGAAAGTGTTAATCTAAACAGCGACTTGCGATTCCACCTTAAATCGTATGATCAATTGAATGTTGGCGTTGGCATTGATGTTCTTCTTTCATTATTTTTTCGCTGATTACTGATTTAATGAATTGATTTGTTGTAACGCTCGCCTGTGAGTATTATTGCTATAGCATCGTTGATGAGCATTGAAGAGTTTCTTCTTCTTACATCACTTTTCCAGCACTCTTTTCGTGTTTGAAGCTCCGAGGTAAATCGAACTGAACGGTTGCCTGTCGAATTTCTTCCTCTCTTACGAAAATAGAAGAAAGCGAATTTAAATGCCCTCATCCAAATTTAGAAGTTGTTGTTTTCATCCTGAGAGTTTTGAGTAACTGTGTTTTACTGCGTTTCAGTACGAACGGTTTGTTTTAGCCTGATACTGCTCTGAATAATTAAGAAATCGTGACACTTTCAACATCAATTTTCACATCAATCAACATCAACATTTTCAACAATTTGTTGAAGTCAAAGCTTGTAACGAACGACAAATTAGGTAGGATGAATTGAACGTTACAAGCCGACACACAAAGGAAGAGGTGCAAAAGAAACGAAAACATAATAGCCCTTAATCGTTTATGTTGTTCTAATAACAGAAATTATCCAAAGTGTTTATCTCGATATGACGGGGCTTGGGGCTTAGCTAGATATATCAGCACAGTGTCGCTATTGCAGCTTACTCAGCTTGCGCCCTTACAATATGGAAAGTTGACGAATTTTGCGGATTTCTCTGTGATAGGAATGCACTATGTACTAATCTGCACTTCTACGCTGATTCAACTACCGTTGTTGAGGAGGACGGCAAGCCACTTGGAGAACTTCCTTCTGATCGCTTACAACGCGGACACAGGGTTGGACAGTAAGAGCAATTTCATTCTGAAATAGAGTGTTTATTCTGAACAGATGTAAATCAAGGTCAAAAAGAGGGAAAATGTCCTAGATCTCTCTCCTACGTACAATTCATATCTTTCCTATTAGAACGCACTAAATGTGTATGTTGCTTGTCTTGTGGTTACGTGTGTGCGTGTGTGTGAGTGATTGCATCGGGTGTGTATTTCGGGTATGTGTTGCTGTGTGTGTGTGTATCGGCGTGTGTTTCTGTGTCGGTGTATGTTATCGGTGTGTTTTCCTGTGTCGGTTCTGTGTTCATTTGAAAATTCATAATTTCTGTTTTTTAGACCAGAAGGGTTTAAAAAATCAGAAAGGATATAAGCTATAAGTAGGTTGAAAACATTTCCCTATATAGTGGTGGCCGAGTGTGTATGTTAGTTTGTCGGTGTGTGTTTTTGATCGGACATTCATAACACCTGCTCCACTGCACCTAGAGCGCTCATATTCTGTAGAAGTACAAGGGACAGGATGGGCACACTTTTGGTGGCAAAACCGGACCTCGCCCATAAGGGGTGAGGTTTGCGTGAGAAAGCCCATAAGGGGGGAGGTTTGCGTGAAAAAAATGTTTAAGCAGAAATTCGCAACTCCTGTTCCTCTGGACATAGAAAGTTAAAACCTGGTAGGATTAGACCTTTTTGTATTGAAAGTGGAATCTCGGCATCCCAATAAGTGGCGTAGTATATGACGGATCGTAGGTATTCAATGACAGGATCCGATGATAACTGTGAAGATAAGGGGCCTAAGAGAGCAAGAGCCACCTATCCATTTGAATCCTAAAGGTTCTTACTCAATGAAGGAATTTTTTTGTTCGACATCATGTGCCAACCATAAACTTAACCGACCGCTAGTAATCTGGAATCTCAACCAACCAGTCGGATCGCCCGGCTAACGGCAGACTCTCCTCCTTCTTGTGTCAAACACCCTATCCCGAGAAATGTTGAACTAAAGAATTTTTTCCCTCTTTCGAAGTTTATAATTTTTGGGTCTTTTCCGCTGCTTAGCTGAATTTAAGTTTTTTCCTGCTGTCTAGCTAAATGAAAGTATGAAACTGGAACACAGTTCGAAATCCTTCTTTGACACAACAGAAATCGAAAGCTTCCCTAATTCTTCAATAAAGTATAGTAATTCTAACTCTCCACTCTTTTTTGAAACAAATGACACTTTCCTGTGCAACAAATTTGAAAAAGGACTAACAGGGCAGTGCAAATGGTATTCAGTTAAAGTCGGTGCTTCTGCCTTTGTTAGGAAGTCTCGATTTTTGCTCTCTAAGAAATAAATATCCATCAAAATTCTAATTGTTAGACATTCAAAGATGATGCTGTGGAGATGTTCTGAGTGATAATAGCACCGTTATCAGATGTCCTTTATCGATGGACCCTTTTCTTTACGGAGATATCATTAGTTGAGAATCATTGAATCACAAACCTCACTGGGTAGTGGTTGTAATCTAATAGTAAGAAATGAACAAAGTTCTTATTTCTTATCGTATTGCCCTAATGGGTCCTTATCACTGCACTTTTGCCGCCCTGCTCTACTATCCCGTCTTATCGAACGAAACATACTGAACGGTCAAAGCTACATCGTAGATACCAAAGACATTAGGATTTTGATCGGTAGGTGGCCTCTCTTAGGTCCCTTATCTTCTCTTATCAGTTATGGTCAGTTCTTGTCACCGAGTGCTTACAACCCCGTCATATCCTACACCACTTATTAAAATGCTGAGGTTCCCGCTGTCAGTCCGAGAAGTGTAATCCTACTACATTGCAGCGCTCTCGGTCCACGGGGACAGGAGTTATGGGTTTGCGGCCCGAAATTCCCATCGCGCACGCCCCGTCCCCTGTGCACGGAGTCCGGTCCTGCTACCCATCATAAATGTTTCCATCCTGCCCCCCTTATTCCTTTCAAGTTTGAACGCTTTAGGTCCACGAGAAGTTATGAATTTCCGGTCGAACACACACACCGGCACACATACACACACAAACACACCGACAAATCAACAGACACACTAAGCGAATTATATATAGTGGGATGATATCTCCGCGAAGGCAGAAGACCCATTAGTGGCGGCACCTGGAAATGGTGTTGTGATCACCTAAGACATTTTTGGGTACCGCCCAAGGCTTTGGTTGCTTAACAATTGAATCCTTGACGGGTATTTACTTTTAGAGGCACGCTCCACGATAATTTTGAGGTATCTTCTTTAGGTCGAAAAGCGGAAGGGATTAATGCATCAACGGTGAAGGAAAATTTGCAGTTTTGCGGAAATTAAGGCTACTTAAAAGAAGTGAATATAGAAGTCCTATATATATATATATATATATATATATATATATATATATATATATATATATATATATATATGCGGCGTCCCAAAATTATGTGCGGCAATTCATGACAATATATATGAAACTTATCAGCTGAGAAGAAGAATGAAACATACGTTCACGCTTGCTAACATTATGTACTACAACATACTACCATCACATTTCAAAATATCCCTCATGAGCGCGGGTCGAGACCTAAAGTTTGCTCTCGAACTCTTCGCGTGTTGCGCGCCGGTATCCTCCTTTATTTCTTCCTATCCTTTCTTGCGTATTGCTTCCAAAACCCCAAACTGAGGCTGCAAACTCGACAGGTTCTTTTCCAATCAGGGACCATACGGACGAGCTAAGTGGGTTAAAATCCGTAGAACAGGATGGCCATTCCTGTTTGCCAATGAAGCCGGGCAGCTAGAATAAGCACCGCTAACAGGGGTGCCTGCATATTCGGGCGCTGGCTGTTTCAGAAAGCGGAATAGGATTAGTGGTTTGATACTTTTAAGACGGTCTTTGAGTACAGATCTTTGTCAATTTTCACGCCGGTGTAGACCAAACTGTGGAAGTCTTAACCTCGCCTATGACTCCTGCAAAATACATCATTTTGCTGTTCTTACAGCAACTTTTCTGTGAGCGATTGCACGTTCGATGTTTATGGCTGGAACATGTTCGTTTTTTGCTGAGGATTGGTTTCTTAGCACAATTTCATCAGTTAGAGAGAGCGATGAAGGGATGCGTGTCTCCACTCACATGGGTTAGCAACCTTCTGCGTTTTTCGGCACCGTACAGCCTACTGAGATCAGAAATGGAGCGGCATTCCTGCATACGATAGGAACAATAGGGAAGCTTCTGCTCGACAGTACTCCCCCCGACAATAGCAGATTTGAAAGCCCTCTTTAAAATGTTGCACCGCTCCGCTGCCAGATTTTTGAGCTCGATGACTAATAAGAGAACCTGACCCTAATAGTGTTTTTCATACTTTGACCAGCATAATAATGATTTGACAAAAATGGAGCGCATAAAAAGCTCTATCCTTTGAGGACCCCATAACAGTAGCATCTGTTCAGACCTCTGAAACCTCACAAAATATAGAAGATGCAATAAAAATATATGTAAAAGATCATGAAAGTAGGCCGGAGCTAGAGCAGGAGCTACGCCACCGCATAGCTCGAAATTTGAAGGCCTGAATCTTTCTTAGCCCTGAAAATTCCTCGGGGAAGAAAAAAATATCTTACAAGAATTGTGTCATAGTTTCTACAGCATTTAATTAAGAAGTAAATTCAGGTTGAGATAGAGGCTGAGCTGACGGAGATGGATGTGTCAGACACGAATATTCATTACATGATTCATGTTCGGAAGCTCATAAAGCTTGGTAGCGGTTGGTCCGCATGTGAAATACTTCAGTCTAAGTGATGTTATCACAAGCAATTTTTTTCCAGCTGCGAGTTTAGACCTTGTTTACACGCAAGTGCTGATACCGCTAGTTATGAAGAAACCGTCATCATACTACAGGGCCTTAGCCGAGGTTAGTTCCCGAGAGCTTATAGAGCGCTATTCAGAGAGTGGCAAGTTAAGCACTCCTTGAGAAAAACTTTCACTGCATCCAAAATAAAAGTGCACATGCAGCTCACGTGCCTACTTATTGAGCGATTGGTGGCGTCGAAAGCAACACCCTATAAACTGACCCTATAAACTCGTATTGCACCTACTTATGGCGAGTACGTGGGTGCAATACGAAGGTGCAATACCCTCGTCCGTCGCAACTATGTACGTCACGTCGCACGTCAGCCCGCGATTTTTGACAGACGGGCATACGATTTTCGCTTGGTTCATGGCAGTCAGCACAGAGAGAAGATAACTTGGGCTGTTGCGAATCATTTGCTCACGTGCTATCGTTATGAGGCGGCAGTCGTTTGGCGCGGCCCCTTGCAACAAACTTGCCACCGTTCAACTCTTTCTGCTCGAATGACCGACCAAGTTTATCGGTTCAACTCTCAGTCTAAATATACGTATCTGTATGAGCGTAATACATCAGAGATAGATGATAGTGAAAAATCAGCTGTAGGTGGATTTGTTAATCAAACCATTGATGATGATGATTATTGACGCAGGTACCTTTGCCGCGTGTTTCGCAAAGCATGGGAAAGGGTAGACTTTGTATAAATGGATCAGTAGATGACTTTTCGCTGCACATACCTTAAAATGTGGGTATTAAGAACAACGATGTTTAGGCGTATACATAGATCATCTACTAATCTTGTACATAAAGCCAATGTACAGAATTTTTGTACACCATCGTCACATATTAAGTCAAACACGGATATGTAATGAAGCTAATGGTTGGATATTATAGCAAAAAAATATGGGCTCAGGGGTAGCTAGTAGGGGCAAGACCGCACAGTGAAAATTGACTATGTTATCTTAGAACGTATTCACGATCCACTGAACTCGATCGCAAGGATGAGGCAAGAAGAGCTGCTTTCCGTCATTGTACTTGAATGTTTCTTGCTTAGGCCCTAAACCAATGGCTGCTAGGAACGCACTGGTGCGTACCAGTTTCCCTTGAAATGTCAATGATGGTATTGCTGTTCACAGCAGCGGTTATTGTTTAGCCTTCCCCTGATCAATTGCTGTAATCAAAACTATAGAACAGGTACTTTAACGAACAGCTTACTCGTGAACATTCAGAACGGAGACCTAGTCTACATTCATCCTTCTATCCTGTATGCCTCCTCGCTTATCGACTTCATGAAGCAACGTATGCTCAACTGTAGACCTCCTTTTATTGATGTGAGTCGTTAAAACTTTCTCGCTGTAACGGTCATCAGTCTTTTACCTTTTCATTACAGGTAGGAATTCAGTTCCAAATTTGAACTTACCGCCAACTTTCTAGCTTTTCTAAATCCTTCTCGGTGCGCCACTATGGGTACAGGTTTCATCAACTCTTCAAATATATATTTTCCGATTTCAACCGTAACAGTTTGAAATCAACGCCATAATAATGTGTTATCCAAAACGATCAACTCCTTGAAGCTCGCTCAGTAAATTCCATTCATCCAGTAGAAAATTGAGTTATAAACTCCCTCGAATAGGAGCCCTCTGTAAAACTTACTTCTGGGAATAACATCAGAGTGAGTTTTCAGTCTGTACTCCCACATAATCAAGAGATGAATAGAAGTGCGAAGGAGAGCAGTCAAAACGGACGCTTTCAAGCAATTCTGCCTTCGTCTTTCAGCCATTGTACCCTCAACTCTTTCACCATCGCTCACGCCAGCTCAATGCTCAAACTTTAATTTCAACCAGCGCGAAATTTTAGAAAAAGTTGTCTGTTTCACAAGAAATTGCTGGGCCTCTGATTGTAACAAATTTAAAATTAGTGCGAACATTCTGAAAATTGACTGTTTCAAGCATGAGTTCTTTTTAACCATGTTCTTTCAAAACATTTATTTATTTATTTATTCATTCATACGTGACACTTCACGCGCCTCACTAGTACAGAAAAAGCGGTAACAATTCAACCAAATGATCTAAAGGCCTTAGTATCTATTCAAAAAATAAAGGTAGCTGGACATTGTAGTTGACAGCCAGACCTACCGTAGCTGACAAACAGATACATAACAGGAGACCCCTCAAACCTGTAGCGGTCGGGTGGCATCCAGGTCGACTACCTGCACCAGTCGGCAATGGCGCCTCAATAAGAGGGACTTGCTTGGACTTCGGCACAAGAGTATACCGAAACCCTCGTGGAGCAGGTAAGCCAGGTAGTAGCCGGATGTCGACCATATAGATTTCCGAGGAGAAAGGTCATCTTTTAGAACATGAAGGCAAAACACTCAACAGCTGTCTGAATTCTTAACAAGAAAGATAACACTCAAAAGAAAACTAAAATGTAGAAAAAGAGAAAGTAAATGAAGTTGATACTCACGAAGTGAAACATTTATAACTGAATTATGAAGCCTTATATCCGGACTATGAATTTATATGTTTACTAGTAGTGCCAGGACACAGTGTTGTTGGAGTGGTGAGGCAGGAAGTATGAGAGTCCACTGTTGCGATATCTAATCTGATCTCTATATCTGATTTCAAAGCTGATAGCATCGATAAAATTATGCTTCAGTAAATTCTTTTTGGACATCTTACCATTTCTTGATCCGAATAATTCGTGTAGAAGTTTCTCGAAGTTCATTGCCGTGCGATAAAAGTAGGAGTGGAAAGTAAGCGAATAGAATTTCTCATGAATTCTTTGATGGTATATTTCAAACCTACCAGACCTTGCACTGCAGGGTTTGAAAACCCAATAGTTGCTCGGTTTCAATCTAGTTTGATGTCTGAGTATTCGGAATCCCAGAGTGAGATCATTAACTAACCTCACCTTGTTCAAACTTGTCAGCCCTAGCCATCTCATTCGTTCTTCATAACTCGGAATGTTACTCGAGGTAGTTCCTGGGTGGTTTCTTAGATAAACCAACCTGACAAAAGTACGTTGCCCTTTCTCCAGTCTGGTCAACTCTTTCTTAAGAATGAGATTCCAAAGCTGAGAGCAGTAGTTCAGATGTGGCATTGTATAGGCGTAGGAGTAAGTTGAGTTCTTTGATCTGGGTATCACGGAAAATCATAAAAAGCGCTGCAAAAGCTTTCTTCGCCCCCTTTCGATCTGTTCTGTGAATTTCAGGACAGACTGTATTATTATCCCTAAATCTTTCACACTTGAGCAGCTAGTCAATATAGTGCCGTTTATTTCATACTTGGCTTGATATGTATCTCCAAGATGGAGAACTGTGCCCTTATTTATATTTATTGCAAATTCCATGCTGAAGCCCATTCCACCATTCTTATAAGAGAGAGCTGAAGTGCGTTTTGTACTTGCTTTTTATTGGTTGCATCATATGAGGCGTACAGCTTTATGTCATCCGATACATCTGTACTTTGACCTCAGGTGATAAAAAACGAAAGCAGGTAGTTCCACGGTATAAATCAAAATAATAGTGGCGACAGCGCGCTTCCTTGAAAGACACCACTACTGCAATGATGTCTATCAGAGAAGGTGCTTCCTACCCTCACCGTCATATGTCTATCGTACAAATACGACTTTAGCCACTCAAGGACTTGTCCAGTCATGCTAAGGTACTGAAGTTTGGCCAGTAGCTTCTGATGACATACTTTATCGAATGCCTTAGATAAGTCGACGAAAACGATATCTTTAGATTTACCACCAGAGCATAAGTCCAATCATGCAAGCTATCCACCAGGTTAGATAGCGAGGAGGACCCGCTCAAAAACCCATGTTGCTCGTTTGGCATCACTCGAAATCTATCTAGCCAAGCTATCATTTTGTCTCTAATGATCTCCTCCATTAGCTTTGCTGGTGTGGGCGTTATGCTCACGGGACGGAAATCGGAAATAAGCCTACTATTCGAGACATTAGTTATAGCTGTGACCAAGGCCTCCTCCCAGATATTCGGAACCTCTCCTAGGAGCATAGAAATATTAAAGATGTGTCAACGGCTTACATAGTGAGGAGGCACAATGTGTTAACGGCTTACATAGTGAGGAGGCACATCTCTTATACACAGTCTGGGGGATTCCATCATACGTTTCCGAAAGAGACGGCTCCAAGCCTTCCAGCGCCTTGCGGACATCGTTTAGGTGAAAGAAAACATTAGACAATACGTTACCTATGTGAGGCACTCCCTTCATTTCCACAAGATCTTCAGCTGAATGAATAATGGTGAAATTACTAGCGAAATATTGGGCCAAACCCAACGCTTTTTATAGGTCCGAAGCGAAAGCAGTGCCATTCTCATCGGATAGGGTCGGTAGATCAGGACTAGTTTTAGTATTCTGCCTAATGTAACGAAACAGTTGTTTGATATTTAATTTCGATAAAAGATGCCTTTCACGGTAGCTTGCCCATTTCTTGATGTGTTGATCAAGATCTGAGCAAACTTTTTTGTACCGGCTGTCAGTGATGGGAAGAGATAGGGAGCGGAATAGTCTCTCTTTCTGGGACATAAGATTCTTAATATGAATAGGATACTTTGATTGGTAACTTCGAGGAACGCTAACGGGCACAAACTTAGAAAATACCGCATATAGTTGTTTACAAAACTTTCTGTAGGCATCACTTGCGCTGGTAAAATTGTTCAACAACTCGAACCAATCAGTAATTCTTGAAGAGAAGGCTTCAAAGTAAGGGAGTCCACGCTATCAAAGTTCGGCAAAGGGAGAAGCTGTGTCTGAACCTCACCAGTTGTGTACGCATTACTTCAAAGCAGACCATATTATGATCGGATGGAGAATGGAGATACAACTTTAACATTTGAGATAGTTGGTGTCGCCGAAAGGATAATGTCGAGTATGTTTGGACCATGGGTGGGTTCCGTCACGTACTGCACAAAATTACAATTAACGAAAAGTTGATGAAACTTCCTAAAAGCATGGTTCAAGAGCTTGGCAGTACCCCGATCAATCCTGAGATTTAGATCACCCATAAGAATCGTATGATTACGCACTGAACTCAAATCAGTGATCAGGTCTATCAACGCGGCATCATCCGCTATTGTTGAATTGGGGGGGGGGCGATAGACATTGATAATCCTAACAGCAGACTCCGCATTTTGTATTCAAATATCGCAACAGAGAACGTCCGTGACGAGGCTTTCGTTCAATTTCAGTTGAACGCACTCTAAGGAAGTACTCACTATACAGCATATACAGCATATACCCCCTCCTTTTTTCCCTCTTCGATCTTGTCGAAACACGAAGTAAGGAAGATCCCCTACAAGCCCCGAGTTTGCTACGCTTGGGGTCAGCCAAGATTCGGCAATATTAAGGATACCGGGCTTCACATGCAATAGAAAAAAATGTAACTGAATCAACTTCTTGACAACACTTCGGGCGTTGTAGAGGCAGCATTTCAAACGACAGTTTGGTGAACAACCACGCGGGCTTATGCGTCTCCCTGTTCTTTGTTAAAAAGTTCTGTAATGTGCTTCAGTTCGCCTCTAAAGACCACCCATTCCCGTTTGTCTTTTCCTCGATTACGATCCTTGGCCTTTTGCCTCAGATTGTAGTCGCGGCTTCTTTTTTCCTGCATCATACTCCGTCTTACGAAAACGCTTCAAGCTGACTCGAAAATTTCAAGTTCTTAGCATTTTTTAAGGCAGTTCGCCAATGACTTTTTGACGGGAGTACTATTTTTACAAGCCCTCTTTGGCGCTCTGATGGCCGCATCTGAGGAGAAGCCTTTGCCAGACCACTGATAACCAAGCTGCACGAGCGCCTATCCTCATCAACGGCGTCCGACATTTCCTTAGGAATTTTGTCGGATAGGGCTACTAGCATTTTTTCGATGATAGGATCAGAATTCCTTTCCATTATAGCTCTTAAAAGCTCGCTCATGCTCATCCTGGGAAAATCTTGTTCTTTTTGTGTGGGCTGAAGACCGCTTTGATTGTTCATACTCGACCCACTGGAGGGTACCTCAGGAACAGTGGCACAGTCCTTCGTTTTTCGTACTCTATCTCGTTTGGGAGGCATGGCCAGAAACGCTTACTTTTTTGTTTAATGAGACAACGCCAATGACTGCTGCAGATCAAAAACGATGACTTATCAGTCAATATCGGCAATGCGGACCACCAGTAATATGGACGGAAAGCGTGAGTAAATGAAGAACCAGACTGAATCACTGTCCTAATTCTTCAAAATATACGTGAAACCGTCTTGGTAATAAAAGCTTATGAAAGATAGAAAAAAATACAGGAAGAGAGTGATTCAAAAGCGAACAGGAAGCGAAGACAAAAAAAGGTAGAGAGGAAATGGTAGTGCCACCGCACACCACGAATACAGGAGAATACTATAAATAGCTATCAATTATTTCTCCGAGGTCTAATAGGTCGAGTAATTTTTTCTCTTCTTCACTAGTCAGTTTCTTTTTGAGTCTAGGATTCAATCTTTAGTGAAATCCGTCTTGAGACGCGCTTCCCCATCAAACTCCCTTCAGATTATTAGTAGCATTAAAATGATTCATTTCCTTCTGTTTCACAATGCCGCATGGCAACAGCTGTTTTGCCTGAAGCAGTAAAAGGATAAAGTTTTGAACTGTATTCAATCCCGTCTGAAGCATGCGCCTCTCGCGTTCGAATTCACCTCGAATCATAGTGGCTTAATGAATGCGTGTGTGGCCCATACACTGACTTGCAACGTACAAGTCAGTGCCTTCACTCTCCCCAACAAGTCTGGCACCAGTTGACCCAAATCCGGAGGGATGGAAGACATGATCGGCCTGAGCGGATATCGATCTTGGACTCGGACTCTTATCTGCGGGTGTGATAGTGCGCCACTTGCCTCAAGAATCTTACCCAGGTCACTTCGCAAACTGTGAGGAAACTCTATTGTACAACGGACGACTAGCTAATGGAGTAAAATTAATGTCTCGTCCGAGACGTTTTTAAATATTTGGCGCCTGTAATTTAGACCCCTGTATACTGACAAGTTATTATCAAAATCACCATATTTTCCAGCCATCTCCTTACAGGGGGATCAGCGTACACCACCCGTCAATATCTCTGTGACACAAAGAAGCAAACAAGTGTTGTGAAGCAGCGTAAACTGTTCATTCTTCTATCGATGATGTGAAACCCTACCTTGTTGGGAGATTGAGAACGCTTTTCAATCACTGCTGATGAAGTAATACCTATAAGAATTGCATAAACAATGTAAATGAAGCTCTTTGCCATACTGTTTGGAAATATATGCATCAGCTGCACTTTCTTTCACCACTCTCTTTCTTCGGTGTTGAATGTGCTACTATGATGAAGTCAACGCAAGCGACGTACTTTGGTATCTTTGAATTTTCAAGTAAAGTATTAAAAATCTTGAAGTTCTTCAATTAGCAATTACTCGCTTACACTGCTTTCCATACTCTCTTTTCCTACAAACCATTTTTAAATTCCGCGATATTATTAACCGTAACTATCCGAGCTTCTACGACCGAAGCTGACTCATTCACAAGAAGGTAAAGAAAATACAAAAAAGCCTAGTGGCTGGAGGGGATTAAAGAAAGCAGCAAAGAGGAAAATGGGGTACCCTCATAGGAGCTTATTTATTGAGTGTGTCCATTGCCCAAGGATCGCGAGGGGGAGGAGCGCTCAGACGCGCTCTTCGCCACTCTTCCGCTTCGAAGCAGCACTAGAATACCGTGTTGAACAGTCTTGAGTCCCTTCTCATTATTGCTTTCTTCGCTTTCTGTTAGTCTCAGTGGGGTTTTTGGCACTTTCCCTTTTGATATTTTTCTTTGAGAATGCTTTGGAAGTGCTTTACTCGAACCACACAATTCGAGGAGATGTTACGGTAGCCCCAAGGTGGATTGGCGATACCATTGGAAGAATGTGTAATCTGAAACGAATATTGATCAGTTGCGAACCGTACGGCGACACTGCGCAAGGCTACGGAACAGTAGTTGAAGTGGGTTAAAGGTCTATCCTCTTGGTGCTGCAGAACTATCGTTAAACTAGTATTTGATGAAGCCTTCTTCGTTTGGATAAACGTACCTACATTCGGAAAGTTTGAGGCACTTAGATTAATAGGAAACTCTACGCTCTTCGATTTTGATTAACGTGTCCGTTGAAATTATCTCGCTGGGTCTAATTCATTGTCTGCTTAAATATATCAGTGTTCAAGGCTGTTTCGGAATGGAGCATCGTTGTTCAATCTCACAGTAGAAGCGATCGAGTTCACTGCTCACTTCTCAATACCAGCCCAGAACTTAAGGTTCGCAGTTTTGAAACGAAAACAGAATCTACTTCTTGTCACCATAATCAGTTGATGTCGTTTTGCAACATGATTGCAGTGTGATTTGTGCTACTGCCGCACAGTACCTAGTTAAGGAAACGCTACTTACATATATCCTGTGTACATCTAAAATTACACCACATTAAGGGATCTTTCAAAGTCGGCTGCCACGTAAGATACACCGCTTGCCTAGATCTGCCTAATTCTACTTATAAATGGAGATGTTTGAAGATAGCAAAGACTTCATGGAGCACCTGTAACGAAGCGAAAGTGGTGAGCTGTTCATGTGTAATGCTGGTTGGTATGAAATGTCGCCCATACGTATTCTGTTACTTTGAAGTCTTTACCCAACCTTTTAAACTCAGTAAAGGCCGCCTTGAGAGAGCGTAAGTTGGCGCATGCAACGCTATATTAGCTACTCGTGATGGATAGGATAGCGAGCCTAATTTCCCATCAGAAGAATTTCGATCAAAAGCTCGGGTGGTTGGATTTAATAAAGGTACTTTGCAAGTCTTTTCATAAAAAATGAATGTTGACCAGAAAATGAATGTTGTTTTAACAATGTACAACATAACAACTTGTATGCACATTTTCACATTCGATCTTTCTTTTGTGGTGCCGTTCCGCATTCGACTTCTATTCAGAATCGTAGTGACCTTTAGAATGCGTAATACAGTTCTCCACTTGCACACACCGCCCCGCCCACCGCTTACCTTAATCGCTCTCAATTATCAAGCAGCGGGATTACACCTTATTCCGTCTTTTTTCCATTGAGGAAGATCTTGGGGGGTTGTATGGAAGAGATGGCCTTGCAAGATTGATCTCGCTACTTATTATCTCTTTTTAAGAGGATTTTTAATAATAACACGCTCTCTTTTACAGATAGTGGAAAATTCTGATACGAAAGGCATCTCCTCTCCGAACGTTGGAAATGGTATCACTCCGTTGAAGGTTGCCAATTTCATTCATATTCCATTTGTAATTGATAATTCCAAACAGATCAAGGGTAGCTCCTGTGAGGAATCGAGAGTTGGAGAGTTGTGGGCAAGACTTTGGTTTCGGGTGGAACTCGGACTCTTAAAATGTTTAGAAATATGGCATAAAAAATCAAGAGCTCAACCTCGTCATAACTCGTCCTGACTAGGTCACGGCATAACTATAGCGGACGATGGGGAACGAGTACTGTAAAAGAGGTCGCTTGTGGTCGGTTGGCTTCCACGGCCACGCGGGACTAGTAATGCCTCGAGTTTTGGCAATTGAGCCTTCATTATCAAACATTTATCGAAAATACAAAAGCTATTTTCGCCGCTCATAGTCTAGTACCATTATGAGTTTGCGGAATATATAAACTCCACTCATAAAGTGGGGTTCTATCATTGTATGTTCTCCATGTAAATAAACGACCCCTGTGAATTGGCGACCGTTTTTCCACAATATAGCAACTACGACACCCGAAAGAAAGATGCGGACCGAGAAACTCTACCGATGGAATATTTGAATGCTGCGCCGCTCTCGAGTCTAGAGGAGCTTACTTTTTCCGGGTGCCTTCACAATCATCCCACGTTTCGGTAGCGGTACCAAGCTCTTGTTCACTCGAGGGTAGACCTCTTGAATTTCCCTTGCTCACGACGCAACTGGAGAACAGATTAGCCCTGCCCCGAATCAACTAATAGACCTACTCTCGGACGTGGTTAGAAGAGAAGTTACTTTACGACTGTCGACGGTGGGCAATCCCATCAACTGCTATTGCCGAAGTAACGCCAACTTGCGCAGTTTAACAGCAGGAGATACGCAGTGGATCAAACAGCCCCATCTCTCTCAAATGTACGCTGAAAGTATTGCCCTTCTGCTCCAGAACTAATCATAATGCATTCCAATGTTGCGACTTCAACACCCCAGACGAAAGATGTGACTGCACTCACAGAATGATTTGTTTCAAAAGTTCACAAACGAATCACAGAAAGAATGGTGCGATTGCCATTACCATGCAGCCGACAGCAGCATCTGTAAGTGCTATTGTGATCCCTCCCTTTGTTACTATTCTAAACCACTGCAAAACAAAACCTCATCAGAGAGGAGTGCCGAAAACTTCACCAAAGACAAACTCTGCATTTTCAAAAGATCCAACCAATAATCGGCCAAGTGGAACAAAAGATATGAACCGCGATTCCAGACGGCACTAAAAGTGGAAACAAAGAAGAGGGAGAACCGAATTCTAAAAGTAGTCTCTGTTGCAGTGCAACAAATAAATACAACAGCAGTTGAAGCAGAGGACAACGAACAGCGAAATAACGACGAAGCAGTTCTGCTAATGTGTACGGGAGTCACACTAGTCACAGCAATAGCAAGACAGCAACAACTCTCCCCACTCTGGATAATGGCTCAACACACCCATATAATACAACAGAGGTTGCTGAGTAGATGGAACTAAGCCATATTAAGGAGAATGACATTACGCATTACAAATTCGAAATCAAGGAGTCACAGACAGTATTGTCAAAGCAGAACAGTATCCGTATTCTATACCGAACGACTCCTTGTACCCTAAGAGAGTGCAAGCCCTTCTTTTTTGAAATCTCTACCCCTGCCCTGCGGCCTCCAGTCCCTACCAAACGAAATTGTTCGCAGCTTCTCGATATCCAAAAAACACGGATGCACAGGAATTCTTTTTGGAATGGACCATTTTCGGCGATCGATCCTTGCATCCGATTTCCATTCCTCAAGACTGCCTAGTGCACTTCACCTATTGAACCCGAAACTAGGGAAGATAATATATGGAAGAAAAAAGTTAACTCGTGCCACAATCATGGCAGTTAAAGACGAAAACAATCACCCAACAAACAAGCAAGATTTGTACGCAATAGTGAAAGAATTCAGGACCTGTGGATCTTTGGGCACATCGAATGAAGCAAACTCCAGAGATGTTGATAATGTCTCGATTTCTTCAACAAACAACACGCTACACTCAAAAGTAGACCTTTGAGTGTTCCCTCATTTGGAAAAGTGTCACAACATCATCAAAGAACAACTACAGCGAGGTTATATTACCTCTCCGAGATGCCAAATATCACCACCAACAAAAGGATCTTATCTTGCCCACCACGCCATAAGCGGATCGAAGAAACAATAATCCATCTGGTATACAGAATGCGCCATAAATATGGTAACAACTTTTCGGATGTAAGCAATTTCCTTGTTTAGAAAGTTTCTCTAAAACTGAACCTCCCCTTATGCTCTAGCACACCTTAGTCCACATATCTACTTTGGTACTCTCAACTCTCAAATATGACAGCTGATTTGTTTGTATGTTCTACTTCGATGAGAACAGTTTACCCTGAGTAAACACAATTGTATCCAAATAGGATTCAAAAGCCTCACAAGCGTTTTGACGAGAAGAAGTTGAAGGCAAAGAACATTTCCTGTGCGCTACTTGCGCGCGGCACGCGCCTCGAGAGACTTTTTTCTCACTAAAGTGTTTAGCGTGAAATTAATGATGACATTTCAGAGTATACGTATGTATACGTATCGAGAAAAGTACAAAACTTAATCCGAACCTCTTAAAGGATTCTTCTGGGAGGATGCAGCTGAGGGTAAAAAAATTTTCTGGGGGTACGACTTGAAAACTGTGACGCACTTGCTCACGAGTCGGAAAAGATCAAGACTGGTGCTGTGGAAATGTTCGCGACTCAATCCCAGCTTGCAATTCTTCTACGAATTTCCCGGGCTACAATGTGATGGGTCACTGGATATAGTCCATGCTGGAGAGGAAAGCCTGCGCTTCAAACGCACCACTGTTGCTGCTCCTGAAAAATCACTGAAAAAGCCTGGCTAGAATTTTTCAAAAAACTCTGCGAGCCACTGTCGATGAGTAGCCGTAGCATCTTTGAGCAGAAAAGGTTATATAAGATGACGGTGTGTTCGTTTTGTAGATGTGATGCACAAACGATTCACAAAAATTGATCATGTATCATTATGAACTACGGCTTGTGGGGGCCAATATTTTTGTTGCCATATTTATGGCGTATCCTGTACAATGGAGCGCAAAAAGCAATAACCAACCAATTCTCAAGTGTGTCCATTTCGGGGTCCAATTTGTGTCTGTTTGTTTGTTTGTTGGTTTGTTAAATGCGTGTGTGGCTCATACAACGACTTGCGGCGGCGATCCGATGTTAAAGCCAGAGCTTTGTTCTCCCGGCCGAGAAACGGAAGGCTCGGTTGCTGAAGGCGATTGCGGGTTTGAAATTGTGACCGGGTGCGTGAGATAGTGCGTCACTTGCCACTAAGCCACCACACCGATGGCCTGGCGATTTCTCGCAAAAATGAGTTCTTCCAAAATTCGACAACTGCATGCTGAAAAAGTTGGCTACCCCAATTTCGGGTTGACTCTGATTATCAAATTGCTGCTTATCTCGTGGGTGTCGCTTGAAGCTTAGTTCACAATAAAAATGGTTCCTACGACTATCTCCCAGAATACCCAGTGTCCTCGAAGGGCAACACAGGATAAAAGGATAAATGCTCCACGTTCAGCTGCTATTGTCTCCTGAAGTCCTTTTCGAGAGCTTACAACAAGTCTATTCAATTATCTATTCAATAACATAAAGGGGTACAGATAACACGGCGGTTTCCTATTATTCTCAGGTTATCTTTCTGCTTTTTTGAAACTCTCCAGTTCTTCGATCACTAAAAGAGCTCAATAAGCTAAATGTTACAAGCGAGGATCACAACGCATCCATTCAAAAGTTATTTTTCGGAAAGAAGGGTATTTCATTGATTCATTTCAGCCAACTTCGGATCAGGGGAACTGCTCAATCGATTCAATAAAAGGTATTACTAAATGTGTTTACAGTAGGATTTTCTCAAATAAGAAGTTTTTTAGAGCGAGACGACCGGATAACAAATCGGAAATGGGATGCGAAAGTGGAAATTATCGAGAGAGAAAAAATTTCTCAAAATTTGCATGAGAGGCTTAGCACAAAAAAGAAGTACAGGGCGTTGTGTTCGATTCATTTCCAATCACTGCCTATTTGCGTTAGATCGACAGTTTCATAACAGACTTTTAGTAGGGACACTAAACAAAGTCTAAGTTTTCATAGGAGCTCTTCACCACCTCGAAGGATATACCGCCCGATAGGATATCCTGCCGAAGCCTTCGATCCGATACCGATATGCAAGATTGAGAATCCGAGAAAGGTGTTCAGGTCAGTTTATTAGTGCAGACTGTCTCTTACGCTGCAAAGACCAACAGAGCAATGCTCATCTGAAGGTATGCCACTATGTGCTGAACTTGGTGGTTGTGGGTTAAATCGATCGAGGCAAGGAACCCTTGTTGTTCCCCTTTTTGCCATACAATGAAACGAGTCTGGCCTGCTTCGTAGCCGATCGATCTTCTTTGGTCCTATTCTTGTCTCCTTGGTTTGTAAGCTGGTTCAGTGCAGACCTCGCCCGTGAAAGTAGGCTTCCCACGACGGAGTTGTTGAAACTGCTAAGAGTACGCCTATGATACATCGTTGTTGGGTGAACTCACTTGGACAGTATATAGCAGACGTGAAGGCATTTAGTATGCGTGACCCAGCTTACTTACGGTTGAACAATACGACTTCTACTTCTTTTAGCATTGCATCTTTCGGGCATTACACTGCGGAAGAGAACAATTCGGTGAAAATATTCTGGGTTTGGTTCGATGGAGTTACTTATAGGATCACTTTTTACAGACTCATATCACTGAGGTCCGAGATCTTGAGCTGCTTCGTAGCTGTTCTAGAATAGCACTCATCAATCAACCAATGAATATTGCTCTCTAATGTAGTGCACCTTTCGAGTGTTTCAGATATGGAGATGAACCCCCTTGCCGATTCACAATACCAGATGAAATGGAGCGGAACCATTACGCAAACTACTCGTCACTGTACAAAAGTATGGAGGACTTCCTCTTGAGGCACAAACATCGTCGAGGTGAGGGTGCATAATGTAAAGGGAACACAATTCTATCCCATTTAGTACATCCTGACGATCCTCGGTTGAAAACTAGAAGCCTCTCCATTCTCCATATGTAAAGACTTCATTATCGGTTCCGAGCGCATTCAATTGTGTCATAAACAGAAGCATCCTAACGCTACAGGTTGGCGAAAAATTATGTGCGC